TTTGAAGCTTTGTAATTTTAAACGCTTTGGAATCTTCATAATCTTCAGAATTTCTAGAATTTCTTTACTCTCGGCTACCTGGAATCTTTGGAATGTCTGGTACCTTTGAAATTTTCGAAGCGTTTGAAATCTTATTAATCTTCAGAATCTTTAAAACTTCTGGAATTCCAAATATCTGGGAATATCCACAAATTTGAAATTTCTCGAAACTCTGGAATTTTGAAGTCTTCAGCATTTTTTGATTGTTCAGTTTTAATAATACATTTTGAATCTTTCGAATCTTTAGAATTTCTGAAATCTCAAAAGTATAGAAATATCTAGAACCTTTGGAACCTTTGGAATCTTTCAAGTTTTTGGAATCTTCAGTCTTCCAAATATTCGGAATCTTTGTAATTTCTGAAATCTTGAACCTTTGGAATCTTTTCAGATTTTGGAATTTTTAATAATGATACAGAATCTTCGGTCTTGGTAATATACAGAAACTTCAGAATTTGTAGAATGCCTACAGCCTCGAAATATCGGAAAACTTTTCGGCATTTCTGGAATCTCTGGAATCGTTAGAATTTTGAAATCTTTGAAATCGTTATAACCTTCAAAGTCTTTTTTGAATTTCTGGAATCCCAATAGAGTCTGAATATCCGGAAATTTGGAACCTTTGGAGTCTTGAAGTTCTTCGAGTCTTTATAATCTTTAGAATTTTCTAATTTTCCAATTTTCCGAATTTTTGAATCTTTAGACTCGAAATATTCAGAATCTTCAAAATTTTTAGAATTCCTGGAATCTCTGGAACTTTTGGAATCTTTATAATCTTCAGAATCCCCGGAATCTTCAATGTCTTAAAAAAATGTTTAAATCTCCATTCTTCGAAATATTCAGAATTTCTGGAATGTCAGGAGCCTATGAAAATCTGAAATCTTCGAAATTTCTGAAATCTGGAACCTTTGTAATCGTTGTAATCTTTAAAATTCTCAAAATCTCCGGAATCCTCAATGTCTTCATAATTTTTGGAATTTTCAGTCTTCGAAATATTCAGAATCTGTAGAAATCTTTGGCATTTCTGAACTCTCGAAACTCAAGATATCTGAAATCATTTTGGATTTTCTGGAATCCCTGGAACCTTTCGGATTGTTTAAATTTTTGAAAGCTTTATAATTTTCAGGATCATCTGAATTTTTGAAGGTCTTCAGAACTTTTTCCAGTAGGTATCTTCAATGTCTTGAAGGTGTTTAGTATCCTCAGATCACAAGGTGTCATAAATTCGTAAAAAACTTCAATATTTTAAGATTATAATTACAATTTACAAAACTACTGTTGACGCAAGACAAGACTTGATTAATATAGGACCAACTTACTCTTAACGACGATTTTAAGCCACAGAAATGGTAGCTAAAATTATTAATCCCAAAAGTGGTATCTTTTATGAAATTTAACAATTTCATGCCGCTGATGTATTTTTAAATACGCTTTTTTATTTGTTTACATCGTTTTGGAGTAATTTAAAACACCCCTGAAATAAAATTCTAATTAGGATTTAATTAACTGCCCTATAACACTTAATTAACATTTTTATATTCAAGATTACCGAGAAAATTAAAACACTCGTAACAGTTTTAATGAACTTTTTTATTTAGATTTTGAATAAATTTAATGTAATGATTTTGTAATCACAGTGAAAAATTATTATTGTTATTAAAATAGCAAATACGCGAAGATAACGTAACACGAAAGGACGCGTGACGTTACAAACACTTCATGTCAGAATGAATATTCTAATTAGTAGTTTTTTCATTTCCTTCATTAGAACTGTATACGTATATTTTATTAACGGTTTAACTTAATAAAGCTCAAAAATCATGCGACGCGATTTTAAACTGTAAAGCGGTACAAAAAGAGCGTCTTCCTGAAAGCCAAGACAAACTAATATCACTGCTTAACAAGCCACGATAAACTAAAAACCTCGTAGAATTTTTCGCCCTACTTATCATCATTCTGCCTCAGGGCGACAGCCCTTCATGCACTTTACTAATGGTTTGCGTGATCTTTATGTAAATTCGGCGAAGTACATCAAGCACGAAAATTAAAACGACAGTGTTGACGCCGCCGTTCTGCAAAACTATATTCTGGATGTACGCGACGCGCTGAAATTTAACTCCATGCCCCTCCTTTTCTCCGACTTTGTGTGTAACACCGCCAAGTTAAATTAAAATTGAATTAGATGGATGTGAAAGTGGTGCCGAAAAACAAGAGGGGTGCTTATTAAACCAGACAACATTGTAAGGAACTTTTGAATTACATCGTTTCACCAGACGTAAACTAAGTAAGATGAACGGTGTGGACCGGCGGTCTTGATATTTTTCTGAAGCGGCCTTAAATCTGGCTAATGAGGCGAGTTTTCCGTTAAACAAAAACACTCCGTGGGATTCGTGCAGAAGTGGAAGAGTTTTTTCACTGTTGTATTATTCATTATTTCTGCATTGTACAACAATTTCAGCGATTTTAGTTTGAAGGAAATTTTTTTTGTGGATTGCGTAGGTTTCGGTCGCATATGTAATGCATGAAGGGGCGGTTCAAGTGAAAATGTTACACTTTTTCGGTGTGATAACCCCGCGTCATTATAATGAACCAATCAATGGCTTTGTTTTATTAATGAACCAACCCGAACTATTAACAGAATAACACGTCACCCCAGTCTTCCAGTCCAGATTGTATTGTATGTGACCTAAATAATCTAACAGTTCCATCTTCTGTTATTATTAGCGACGTTCGCTCCTCTGAAAACTGACAACCAATCTGTTCTACACAATGTGCGTAGCTACCTTAATGTTATCTGCTAATTTCATCGTAGCCAGAATAAGATAATATGCTGGCAGGCAGCATTTCAGGCTATCGATGTCAGAGACAATGGCCATTATTGGTTCAAGATCATCTGACGTATCAGATTCTCAAAGAGGCGTGTAAGGTGACGTGAAATTAAATATCTGACATCAGTATTATAGCACACGTGCATTGTGTGTGATGTAACACATTAAACTGTAAAACGTGCATGTACCTACAGATTTCTCTCAGTGGTGGATAAGAATGAGCGAAAATTAGTTCGATACAGATTTTAAAAAAGTGGGAAAAAAGTGTTGTGTTTGTTACCGATATTCTGGCTCGGGTCAATGGAGGTCAAAGTGAGCCAGAACCCACACTATATAACTTGCCATTCATGTCTACGAACTGATGAAATGATTTCCGAGTACGATTGATTAAAGTAACATGTAGATTAGGTAGGGGACGCAATTTAAAAATAGCCAAAAAACGCCCTAGCGGAATGAAATTCGCTTATTTCGAATTAATCGCGCTAATGTCGCTTCCAGCCATCTTCATTATTTCCCATTGTTATTATTTCTCTATCGGAAAATGCAATCGGAAACAGATAACAATATTTCATGGACTAATTCCGACATCCTTTTTCCCGCAAACATCTGACACAATGGGGAAAATATTGACGACGGCCGAAGCAGTTAACGGAACCAAATATAAATCATCGTAATAAATTATAATCTATGGCAACTGTAACACGGACAGTTTGTGAAAATCCATTATGCTTACATCTAGCACAATTTTGTATTAATGAAATTGTTGGGGCGTAGGTGCGGGGATAAATGTGGATAACCAGCGTTCACAACACTAAATAACCATTACATTTCAATTCAATCATAGCCGGTGAACGGCGGACCGGTTATATATGGCAGGGATACGTTACTATTATTTTATTGCAAATTATAACAATTTCGGCGAAATTCGCCGACTATATATCACGGCACGCCACTGGCTATGCGATTAATTTTGCGAATTTGTAGCCGCTATTTTTTCCCTAACTACATCGCATTATCCAAATTTATGCAACGAATTTGCGTGGGATTCTCCATTAAGGAGTTTATCATTACAGCGCGACTTTAATAGCTGAGGAACAGCAACACCTGATAATGTGTTGTATAAATTCATCTCGTTTTTTCGTCGCGAAGAGATTATTCTGGTTTCACGCAATTATTGTCTGCCACGATGATCCAGGAGAGGATTTAAATATCTCCTGAGAAACTAGACGAATAATTTTACACACAGCTTTAGAGCGAAATTCGGGACGCTTAAGGGATTAAAAGTTGTTGGATTTACTTCGCAGGGGGATATTTTTATATAATTGAATAAAAACGTCCAAGTTGGATGGAGCAGAAGCGGAGGACGAATAACGAGAGCGAATTTTAGCAGTTCGAGGAAACTAGGGCGAAATATAGCGTGGCCAAGACGGTTTTGATTAAAGTTGGCTGTTTGTGGCACTAAATTATCAGTGGTGTCAAATTTTTTAACCGGACTAAGCGTGCACCGCATCCTGAGCACTTTCAAAATTTCGGTTTGATGGAATAACTCTACGTTTCCGAAATCTGTAACAATCAAGGCTTGATAAAATAATAAAGCAGGTACAGATTTTGAGTCAAAGATCAGGTCAGGTCAGGTCAGTAACTTTCCTTTAATTTGTGTAATAGAATACTTGTTGACGTGGGTAGTAATTATCAGTTCAGCGGAAAATTTATCTAAAAGATGTTCCGCTATATTTTTTTTGGTCAAAAACAATAACAGTTCTTTTAATGGAATATCGTTCGGTTTTAATTCAGGTCGACAGGAAAGCGCACAAAAATCGTGGCTATATCGCAATAATCGAATGAGTCGGCCACATTGAAAGGACCAAATGCAGTCACCATTGATTGAATTCCATCCTTTTGTACCCGGCGTGGGTGTTTCATCTCTTTTTTACCTCACAGTGTATTCACATACTTATCCTCGCCGCAAGCGAGAATTCCCGAAACTTATTCCCAACTAGGAAATAATATTTATTTTACGTTAGCCGCCTAGTTTCTGCGTAAACTTTTTGTGTAAAATCTCCATTTGTGCGTCCTCACGTCCATATTCACTCCAAGCCGGCGTTCGTTAAGCTAATTGTAATTTTCTCTTCTTTCCAGGATGAATGTGACGTATAACGAGGCAAAAAATGAGACCTTGTTAACAATTTCCCCAGTCAAAGTAGACGACGAGGCGACCTACAAATGCGAAATAACATATCTGGAAGTGGGTGAAAATTGTGACGTCGTGCAAATCGTGAAACTCACAACTCTGGGTAAGTGTTCTCTTGATAATAAAAGGCTAGAGAAATAAATTTCGGCGATCGAGGCTAAAGTCGAGTGAGTTCGGGGCGACGGAAGACAAACAGAACAAATTTTGAGTACAAGGGAGGAAGACGTCGAGATGGCGGTGTTTGAGTTGGGAGTTTTCCAGGTGAAATCGCTAATGCCGTATTTATGTGTAAGGAAACTCTAGAAATACCGCGTCCAGCGGGCACGATTTTTTATTTCAAGGAGATTACTTAGCAGTAGTTCAAGATGACGTCATCAATTTTTTGGAAGGGATTGACACATGGATTTTGATGTCGGTTTTGTGGTTTCTACCTTAAATTCTAAAACGTTGTGGTAGATGCACGAGACTAAATACAAAAGCAAAAAGATAAGGGAAGCAACGTCTACCTGAGACCGCAATAACTGCAAGAATATTATCGCGGGGTTGTCAAAATATATTCTTGTCACAAAATAGTAAACGTTATAGCGCGTCGTGAAACTTATATCTAAAAGCGTCTGCAAAAATAAAATTCAAGAACATTGCATTGGACACATAAGAACGTTCGAAAAGGAAGCAAAATTTGAGCTGTTATTATTTATTTACAAAGAAAATTCAGTCTGGTAGAATAGAAATATTCTATAATAATTTACATAGTTGTACCGTTTTCGTTATAAACTGAACTAACATGTTTTGCTTCAGTCGTTCGTACTGTTTGGTTTCTAGTTTGATGTATAACTTCTAATTGGTTCACTTGTTATCGCTGACATGCATTTTGTTCCATAAAGTTGTAAACCGGTGTAAAGTTGATAGGGTTTCATTACAATTTTACATTCTAGTTTTAGAGCTATGAGCTTCGTCCATGCACCAGCTCGTATTACGATGAATATACCCGGAAATTTCAAAAATAGCAAACAAAAATTCCATGCAACATGTGTGGTAGTCATTTAATAACGTTAAAACAACATTCAGTGTCTTTTTTCTTTTGCTTGAAAGTCGTTCCAATAAAACAGCCATCAAGAAATGAACGACCTTACGCTTAATATTTTCATCACTTTTCGTGATCGATTACCGCCAACATCTTAAACTGTGTCACCCCGCGCCGAAATCGCCTCTACTCTGCGAAAAGTGTCCGCACATAAACTTCTTGCCATAACCCATAACTGTCCAGAATCCGTAACACGTCGAACTCCAAGCAAACATAAAATCCGTCCATCGCTGCTCAAAGCACAGCGAATTAGATCCATCTGATCCGTCCATATCCACGGTGGACCGAATAAATCACCGATTTCGTTTTCCCCCTGGAAAGCGTTCAACACCGCAGCGACCCGATGGAAAATCCAGCGCGATTTATTACAGCAACACCACGCCAACATAAATCATTTCGAGATATCGCCACAATGATAGGACGGCGCAGCCTTTTAAATTCGCCCCAGCGCCGCCCCCGCGGTCCCCGAGCATCTCCAGGAAACCGGTAACATATCGCCGGTGTCTGGATGCCGATAAATGGCGCGAAAAATACCATAAACTAACATGTCCGACTTGTGTTGCGGTTCCGGCAAGAAATCAAACGCCTGTCACAAGTTCGACTCCTTTGAGTAACACACGGCCTCCGAACAACTTAAGTGTTATGGCTTGCCAGGGGCGGATTTATTGGACGCCGATATTCTACAATAACCTTTGGCTCCGCGTATTAGGGCCGAACCAGCGGTCCCAAACATGGCAACCGAGATCGTGACGGGATTTTTCGAAGGACCCTCGACATCCCACCGAACGCCGTTTGTTATCGGATCGGGGAAAGTGAAAACCGTGATTGCTTTATCGGGGTTTCGTTTGCGTTTTGGTTATCTGACGCAGGGTGGGAGTGTGAAGGGCGTGTATCTTGTATCCAGAGTCCAGAAGAGCAAGAAATGACGCCTCCACTACCAATTTATAGCGCTTCAAACCTTTTATTTATTTCGGATCCCACCGACTGCGCCATTTTTGGTTCCACTATGAGGAATTTTTGATTTATTGCATTAGAGAATCTAGCTAGAAAATCAAAATTGAACTGCACTCTAGCTACTAACGAGACAGTCTCAAGTTCGATCCCCTCATGGGTTGCTTTTTTCTTACACTGTGACACGTTTTGTGCTTCGTAGACATTTAGTATCTATAGTTTTAACGATTACAGTCACAGCAATCGTGTGTTGTCCCTCCCTGCGAAAAACTGTTCGGAATCCCTGCTTTATATCAAGTGAACGACTGCGAACTCCCTCGGCCCCACTGCGAACATTTACATGCACACAAGCATGAAGATTTTTTGCAAATGAAAAACGGACTTCGATTCTGCCGGACGATTTTTCAGGGGGAGGTGAAATTGGGCGCTGATCTGTGTCCTGGTGTGGGCAATTTTTTTTCGCGTTTCCATGTTATGAACGAGATATAAATTAACAACGGGCAACGCTTATGAAAAACTGGCGGAAATTTTTATCATGTCGTCAACATGCGAAAAAATTATACAAACTCGACGTCATGCGGGACGACGGCCAAATTTAATCCAGGATTATGGTGCAATTTTTACCGGGAAGTTTATAGAGATAGGGTCGCGGTTCATGGCGGCGATATGTTGTTAGTGTTTTATTGTTATTTTTTATAAGTGGATGATTATTGTATATGTCGTAAAACAATGTGCGACTCTGGCTGGAATTTTGCGCTTTTGTTCCGAATTTAAAAGCGCGAAAAATTCGGGACGGCCGTAGCTTTCATGACCGTTTGAAAATGCGTGAAAATTAATTGAGACAATTTTTGGGGTAAACACGTTTAACACAAGTACAACTATTATTTATGATATTCGCTATTTCATCCATCCAGCTGCGCCATTTACGTGTACGATAAATTCTTTTCGCTCAAATCAACAACTTAACTCGCTGTGACATCAGCTTAAGTTATTGCGCTCCTTTGTGAAATATAGTGGATGCGAGCTCGATTAAGTCTAAAGCTTTTTACGGCTGTTAAGCTGTAAACTCATTACGGTGCATATAAAAATGAAACCGGGAAGTTAACAGCACTGACATTTTATCTCTGTTGTTGTCCTGTCGGAGCGAAAGCGAAAACTGCATCGTCACAAAAGCTCCCACTGATAAATTGAGTTAATCCTTGTATTTGATTTCCTACAAAACAGCCGAAGGGTTTTTGCACATATTTTGTTTGCAGGAAATCTCATAACAGGTGGTGGTGTTGCGTCTGATAACAAAAGCTTCCACTTCTGAAGTGTTTACGTAGCTGGAAACTGATTGCACGTACAAAGCTGTATTGTTAAAAATAGATTAATCGTAGTACTACGGAAAATTAGTGTATTATGCACATCGAAACACTTTTAACTCTATTTTTGTACAATATTCAATTTACCATTAAACGTAGTGTCTGTCGCATCGATATTGCGCCTAAATAGTTAAGAACCTGAAAAATAATGGAAAAACAAATTCATACAGGCGGTTTAGTAGCAGTCGACAGCATTTATTTTATGTTAACACACACACAAAAACAATAGAACAAATTCTACTATGTTTGTGCAGCACACCGATTGTATGTGAAAAACCTAGTTGTTACCAAGTCCATTGTTCTCAATATTTTCTCTTAGCAAATTTTCGAGACGGATTTCTCGTTTAGCTGTATTTCCTGTCGTAGGGAAAGGAGGCAAAAATGGGAAAAAGAACCTTTGAATGTTGCCGAAAAATTGCTGAAAAAATTGCTGTAAATATTAGGAGTGTTTTCAGTGAAAGCCAAAAAGGACTACTCCTGAAATTATTTTATACACACCTGTAAATAACTAAAGAATGTTTGAAATATAGTCGAAAATGTGTTTGCGATTTGCTGACTATTTTGCGTGAAGTACTGTATGAACTGTTGCCATTGCGCTAAAAAATTTTGGATAGGATTGACAGTGGGCTGAGTGCTAGTAGTAGTCTGAGCATTGGTATTTACAAAGAACAGAAGAGATAATATTACCTATAATCAAATTTAGTATTAAACATTTTACGAAATAGTTATTTTACCAGTTTAAACATTTTGTTTGCGTGTCTGTTTCACAAATGACCTCACCAATACCCGAACAACACATTTATTTAGCGATATTTGTATAAAATACTTCATAAATTTGTGATAAGCAAGCAATGCTCATTAGTTGAGGTTAATCTATAACGTGTTTTTCTGTTTGAAAGTAGATAATCAAAAATTATTACTGTCTAGAAATAATAAGTTAACAAACTACAATAAATATTGTAACCAATTATACGTCTGTCTATTTTAATAAATGGGTCGATATTTATGCACAAAACAATTTGTTTCAATTTTGGACACTAAATTCGGTGTTTTGTACTTATCTTGTTTCAATACAGTCAGGATATTGTGCTTATTTATTGCAAATTTAATTTATTGTCGTGTGGGATTTAAATTTCACACAGACTCAGGATTTCAAGTCTAAATTAACCTGAGTTATAAATTTTCTTGACCACTTTATTTGACATTTCTCAGCACTAAACAGGCACGTATTTTATTATATTTGTGACAGTTTTCTTAAGCAAAGTAAAACTAGTACATTTTTGTTCTGAATATTTATTGATATTTCATTATTTGATTTTCACGAGGAGGTGTTTTCACACCTTTACGAAGTTCGGCCATCCACGAATTTCTCTCTTTCCGACCGAGCCTCCACCCGTCGGAAACAAAAAACCATCGATAACTTGTTGCAAATTCTGGAAAATATACAAACGTTAAACGTACGTTGCAGTTGCATTCTGACCTACGGAAATAAAATTTTCTGCTATTTGTATAACAGTTGCGAAGGTGTTTGATATGCTTTGAGCACTGTTGGACCAACCGTCTAACACTGTCAAAAACGCCTGCACAAAATTTTGTATGGCCGAAACTGCTGGCTGGATTCCAGAATTTGTGTTAGCTGTGGTCTGGCTCATAGTACATTTTGACAAACATAAGACCACGAAAAGAAGAGTCTGAAAAACGAGAATTTAATACTACAAGTGTTGTTGAAGTTGAGGATATTAACGATTTTTGACATGTTGCTTTGCCAACCTAAAAATATCAACTAACGTGGGGTATCTAAACCTTTATACTGTATGAGATACGATCCTGTTTTATGGGACAATACGTTCATTCGTAATATCGTTTTAAAGTAGATATGCGCCTTGTAAATAATGTTATCTGCCCCTTAAAATCCAAAGATTTATTTAGAAGGTTTGACGTTATGATCACCCGATTACAGTGTCCATTTCGTTTGCAATTTATAGTTCCACGGTGTTCAACTTTTCAAAATATTTTTATTTTGTTCTGTTTGTATTCGACTGATAATATGGTGTTCTCAGTATAAATTAAATTACTAAAGCTTGGCCCTAGTTAAGATCTTAGGAATTATTTTAATAATAAAAGCTCATTAACTGTTGTATACAGTATTTTATTACATGTATTTATAGAGGTTTTAAAATAATCTAGTTATTGAAGAAGTTGTCAAGAACAACACGTCACGTGATTTTTCACGGCTACCAGCAACTATTTTTTCATTATCCAATTACAACTACATCAGAAGGGTTTTGGTATCCATTTATAACAGTCTGAAGGCTCTAAGAATAAAAAAAATTACATTTTGACGGAAGATAGATTGTTTATATCAGAAATTTATACCGATAAATATCTCTCTAGAATTTTTAGCGTACTCGTCATTACATTTCCCATACTTATGGCACCTTCCAGCCAAGTAATTAAAAAACTCAAGTAAAATCTAATGAAAACTTTTGCTGCAGTGTCTGCTAGTTGAGTTATATTTGTTTGATTTGTCTGACTTGCAACAATTGTGCTTAAAAGAATCAAACACAGTATCACCTACAAAATTAGCATGTTGCTCTGAAATTATCGTTGTTTTGTGGTTTTAATTCACTTACTTTAATAGTAGTAGACATAGTGATCTTTAAAAAGATAAATTTAAATGAAAAAACCCACACGGATAATTATAGTAAAGACTACAATAATGTTCAGCAACCAGTCGTAAAAAAGTATGGAAACAATTACGCGACGTATGTTTATCATTACAGGTGGCAATAAAACGTCATTTAGAATAAGATTGTACCGGTATCCATAAATTTTACGATAGAATTATTCAAACACTTCTGAACTTAAATCATTCTTTATTTGTTGCTATTTTCACTGGCAGATCATTTTCCTCTTCGTAAATTTGACTTTAATATTTCTCTAATCGGACTTCTCTTTTTGAGGTACCACCCCCATTTGTAGGCTCAAAATATGAATTAACAACCTGCTGCAAATTCTAAAATATTTGCATTCTCATTAACACGTTATTTCCTCGCTTTTACATACCGTAAAGAAATTTACTGCGATCTGTATCACAGTTGATATCGTATTTTGTATACTTTGAGCACTTTGAGACCACGATAGCAACACCTGAAAAAATGCCTGAACGAAGTCACGGATGGCACTCACCGCTGACTCAATTCCTCTACTAATATTAATTTGTTGGCCCGTACTAGAACGAGACAACCAAATTAACAAAAAAACTAGCTGAAAAAACATCATTTATGTTGAAGTTTGCAGCTTAACGGTTCAAATATAGTGGGCACGAGCACTTTATTTAAGCACTGTGATATGGAATTTATCTTTCACGCATAAATATTGACAATGTCACAAATCACAAATATGCATGTTTACCTATTAATTAAAACGCTACAGAGAATGAAAACTTTGTAACAAACCGGGGATGCACTCAACCAGAAAAACTGCAGTGATAAATCTGAGTTTTAATGGTGTTTTATTTTACACAACATTTATAACATGGAGTGGAAATGTACACAATTACAGTTTTATGTTTTAAGGGATTTTGTGCTGTTTATGACCCTCTCGTAAGAATAGAAATCGGGAAAAACAAAAGTCTTATAAAGCGTCTGACGACCTGAAAAATTGGAATTTTTTATCGTGAACAGTCTTGTTTCCTGCGCTTACGGTGTAGACAGTTTCCAAAACGTTAATTGTGCGGACAATTATATTTACGATGGCTTGAACAGTCTCTGATCCGCCTGCCAATGCTGCTGATACTGCTTGTACGTAATTTTGTAGGGAATTAGCTGCCGGTCGAAAGGGATTTTGGGCTATAATTATCTGAGACAGACATATCAGTAACAACACGTGTGCTATTATCTACGAAAAATAAAATCATTTTTAAGTAACACTTGCACAAATTTTCTACTTAACGAATTTTGACATTCTGGTTGGCGATTTCGAACAAACTAACCGAAATCCTGATGCGGGGTCGCTTTTTGTACGTACGTGATGTAAGAGATAAACAATATTTATTGGAAATCTTATCACTAAAAACTTTCAGGAACATCTGGGATTTTATTTCAACATTCACACCACTTTACAATTATCAAGGATTTATTTTTTATACTATAATAATGTTTTATAGTAGCAATTTCTGTGTTCCTCGTGATTATCAATAATCGTCGAAATTAACCTCCCTTTTGTTAATCAGCGAAAGTGGGAAAAATAAAAACCTGAAAGCTTGTTGCATGCTCTGAAACCAAAATTATGAATTCGGAATTAGAAACTCGCGCACTTACTCCGAAGAGATTCTGCATAAATCGGAATACAGCTGCTAAGAAATTATTTATGCTCTGAATTCCTTCCGATCCGCTTGTAAACGTAGCAGCTATTGCTTGTATAAAGTTTCGCAAGGCACCAAGGGCTGGCTGCAGTGCGCTTTGGGCCATCGTAAAGGTGGAAAGGCAAACTAACAAAACGAGGAATATTTCCTGAAAAAAAATGTACAGACTTTTGAGTATTTATTACAGCGTAGTTACGAATTTGGACATCGTCTTCGAGCGTTTCAACCGACTAAAGAACAAACAAACTTGAAGAGTTTTATTAGCTGTAGCTGTAAGCCACATAATTGATGGGTTAATTATAAGTGACAGCTTTATTACAGATAAATGGGAAGAAAACACATGAAAAGGGTATTTTTATCGTCGTCGTCGTTATGAATGTGTTTGATTAGAATTTTTTGGTTGCGTACGATCTGGCTACTTTGTTACTGTATTAATCAACTACGGGAAAAAATTACCTAGAATCAGAATTTTTGTTCTGATACATTGCAAGGACATAAATGAAAAACGGTTATTTATCATTTATTTTTATTTTACTAAATATAGTCAAAATTAAAATCAATTGTTTTGTGGTGATCCAACCGTTCATGGTCTAAGTGATTGTTTTATGTGTACAGATGACGCCGATTGCGTAAAAGTGGGTGTGTTCCGGCCGATATTTCTCTCTTCTTTCTACCAAATGGAAATATGAGTCTTACGATGCCACGAACCACGCGCTCAGTTACCCACTAAAACGTATACAATTAAGTGCGCTATTCTAATTAAAAACCAACTATTAATTTTCTGAAAATTTAACACACCTCGGTACTGTTTCGTAAAGACCGTCCCATATTTCTAATCACTTTCCCTGCTGCTGTGATAGGTTTTCCCAAATAGGAAACCACCTCAGAGATCTGTTTTCTCAAAGTAGATGGAGCGCGTGTTGTGGCCCGAGGAGTACTCTGTAGCAGGGAAGAGTGCACCAGATAGAGAAATAATAGAGCCGAACCCTAGAAAAAATTTAAAAAAATGTTTTTGGAAGTTATGAAATCGTTTTAAGTACAACTAACCAGTTTCAGCATTTTGAGGCAAGTGCGAATTAAGGTTGAATAACACTTTGTCGAAGTGGGTATTTCTTATCTATGTGCTGGTAATTATTTTTGTGTAAGTGTCGGTTATTGGCTATTTATGACTACGTACACAAATTAGTTACACTTTTGAAACAAATTGTTTAAAAAACGACGGCACGAATATTTTTATGAAATACGAGTGTCACAGATCTATTAATTTCGTTTAATATCGGGATTGAAAGTCGATATAATAAGCCGTAATTTTTATTAGATACCTATCGATACAGTAAAGATTTCGAAGCGATTTAAGCGCCTATTTCACGCTTGCGGCGCATTAAAAATGGATATTTAGTTCGCACAACTTCATCAGTTTTTCCACTCCTTATTTCTCTCTCGCTTCGCGAAAGTCCATTAAACGGAAACATAAGTCGTATGATTAAATTACTCAGCCCCCGCACCGCTCTCTGAAAATCGAAGAATTAAAACACCTATACGACTCTATAATCCGATTCCTTCATTACACCTCGGCGTTACTGCTGAAATACGACGTCACATTCGTAACAACGCGTCCCACACTCCGGGTATTGTTCCCCAAAAACGCATTGGCTTCTGAAGCATCTCTCGAGAGTTCTTGGGCTGCTGCGCAGATTTCCTGAAGGGTGTTTTGTTGCAGGTAAACGCGCGATGCGTAAATTAGTACAAGAACTAACACCGAACTTCCCTAAAAATAGAACCAATTAATTTTTATTTGTTATTTTTTAACCCATGGTATCTTCTCACCTGCATGTTAAAAATGTTACTAAAATGACGGAAGTTAGGTCCTGGTTTATTTATTTATCACATTTTAACGGCCGTTTAAATCATGCGAGCTTCATAAATTGATGGCGAAATACATTTTGCGCGTAAATTTGTTGGAACTGGGTTATCTTCAATGGGAATATATTGAGCGATATTGGAAAAATTTTGCCTCGGCTTTATTTCGAAATTGGGTAATTCAGGGTATACATAACGTGTGTTTTTTTTTACATTAAAGTAAAATATTGCGCTGATGATGATTTGTCGGTGTTTAGAGTAATGGGTGTTGTTTTTGCAAGTATTGCTGTGTTGTAAAAGATAAAAAAATAATAAAGCTGAAATATTTATAAATTTACGAGTTTTAGTTGGTGTTAGCTGTTGGAGTGTATTCGTGCAACAATTTCGAAAAATTGAAATTTGAGAACCAAATTTAAACAGGTAATCAAGTGTTAAAAATAGGTTTAAGGTTTGAATAGGAAAAAAGTCAACCTGCCAAGACAACGACCAAAGACCACTATATTCATGTTCGTCTATACCATCTGGACAACTGTCTTTATTGCCTGTGTCGTCGTCATCGTCTTTGTCACCATTTTGGCCACCTCCGTCGTTTACCATTGTGATTCTTTTTCCTACAACTAAATCGACAACCAAAAGATGATCTTTTTCCGTCAAATCTAGCTCATCAGTTAGCATCAAAATCATGGTCGATCGTTTCCCACAGGAGACACAAACCGTCTTTATCGTGTCTGGATCGATCCCCAAAATTTGCAGCGAACCGTTTAACCCCCTAGCTCTAAATTTACCATGTAAATGAACTTCCGAGTGTTTGTTCTCCGCCAAGTGCTCCAATCATCTGAGAATCTCAATAAACAAATAACGAACGCCGCTCCACCACCGGTGATAACTCTTTTTCCCCAACTTAACCAACAAACCCCACAACGAAATCCATGCACTCCACATTCCAATTTCGCCGGTTGAATTACAACGAGTTTCCACTCACATTTACGTCCATTTTAATGATCCAGTATACTTTACGGCAACTTTTACACCGTAACCATAAACCTGCAGCGAACAATATCGCGCAAAATCGCAATATCGCCACCCCGTAGCAACAATTTCAGTAATATTCCAGCCGATGCAGCATGATAAATCGATGCACACGCGACAACCCTGTCCATTGCACCCGAGTGCCTTCATTCGCACATACACCCTTTGCATCCTGTGTGCAGTAAATACATCACAGTGTATCGATGGGTTCCGGTCGCTGGTTCCGGTTCGCCGGAAACGTCCGGGTACAACAGGATATAACGCTGTGGAGGATCCGACGTCATCTGCCGGCAGATGCCGCGGAATCCCGCTTCTGAATTATTAACAGTGGCCATCGAGAAACTCAATCTGGGTAGTCGGCGACGTAAACGCTCGAGATTATTAGACGGGTTCGGAATCATTGTTCGTGAATTATTCATCTCTTTAGGAGGAAGAGGAGCGCCGCGACGCCGTTGCCGACGATAAAACATCGAGAAGTGAACCACGTGACAAGCGAGACGGCGGAACAAATCCTGGAAAATTTTACGCGTTATGTATAGTCGGTTTCGTGAAGACGGGGCAGTTCGTTGATCGATTTGATGCGGAATGGTCTACTCTTATATATTTTTGTGGAATATTGTCTATTTCATATTTCTGTCAGAAGACTTGTTCGATTTTATCCTTTGTTCCATTTGTTCTTAGACTAGACGCGAAAAGTAACAAAAAAAAAACAGCAACATCCGATATTCTTGTCTTAGCGTCAACCATCGCAACTACATCTGCCGGAAGATTATGCCTCCGAATCCCATCTCTGAATTATTAACAGTGGCCATCGAGAAACTCAATCTGGGTAATAGAAGACGTAAGCGCTCGAGATATTATTAGACGGTTTCGGAATCATTGTTCGTGAATTATTCATCTCTTTAGGAATAAGAAGCACGCTACGACGCCGTTGCCGGTAATAAAACACCTGAAGGGGGAAGAGGTAGTAATGATGTCGAGGAGATGCAGGGGGAATACGGGATGGTCGCATTTTTGAGATTTTACAACCGGGAAAATGGTTTAGATGCGGAAGGGTTGCTGAAAGTGTCGCGGACTGACCGTTACGAGGTCTTAGAAGTGAAATATCGGGTTTATGGAGACAATCCCGGGCGAAAATAAATTTATACAAAATAAAGGCAGCAGAGTTGTTGCTGCAGCGATTTTATTTAGTGATTGGTTCAACGTGGACAAGTTTTATTGACGGAAAAGTGCGCTTAGCGTAGAAGACAAAATTATACTAACGTTAATTTTTAATGTTCTTCTTCAAAATGACAATAGTTGACTAAACTTATTTCTAACACCAGATCTATTGGAACACCACACTTTTGTTTACTCAAAAACTCAAAATTTCTGTCTGGTTTTGGATTTAATTTAAATTAATAACATAATTTTTGTTATACGACTGCTTGGTTTAACAATAATAACTCAATTCGCCGTTAAAATACAGACGGGGTTCCGGTGCTCCCCAGGACCCAGTTGATTGTACATGACGATCAGGTTCCGAGGTCTTGCCGTCGTAATTCGATGAAAGTTTCCAATGCATCTGCTCAACATCGCGAAAAATTGATTTTATGGAGTCCTTAGCTTTTACGGTTGATCATCTATGCAATGAACGTCTTCTCGTATTACCCGCCTTTATGTAAATACACCTCATACGCTTCATCATCGATAAAGCCTGCACTTTCTTTTATGTTAGCGCCACTGCACTTTATCGATTTCCCCGATTAGCCAAGACTGTTTTCAAAGCAATTTGCTTCGAAATTTAAGAAAATTGCCATTAGCCGGCTCTGTTTTTACAGCAGTTTTTTTACGGCGAAGGGAAAATGGCAATTTCTGCTCTCAATCATAAACTATGAGCACGATTTTCGTGGATGAAAAATTGAGAGGTCCTTAGGGAGATGCTCTCAGTGCGAAATTACAATTCGACTAACGTCCGACTAATTGATTGCTACACCATTTAACTAACTTGACGAAGATCTCGAACAGGCTTCGACTCTCATCTACCTCAATAATTGAGGTTGTCCGGTGCAGAGGTAAATATTCGATTAAGTAAATATTTGATCGCTGTGTGGCGAAACCGGAAAGCTGCGGTTGCTCATGTTCTGATGCCCGATTCTGATCATTATCTCGCCCCTCGATAATTTATCAGGCACGACTTGCCACTGATATGTTTTTAATGACAATTTACGATACTTTATGCGGAGGAGAGCTCGGGAATCGCGTGACACTCAATTTGAGTTTTAATTGCCTACTTCTTTGTCGGTTTATAGTCGTTTCTTGTTAAAAATGCAGTGATTACAACACGTAATAATCTATAGCTATCAGACAGTAAACTTAATTACGTTTTGTTGATTTCCTTCGCTGATTACCCACATCGTCCCTAATGAAGTTATAACAGCTGCATTATTGTTTGCTTCGTGTTTGCTGTAGTGGACATATTTCTCTGGCTTGAGTTCTTTCAATAATTCAGTCATCAGTGTTCTCACATGCTCTCACCAGAAACGTTTAAAATGGTTCCTGTTGTTGGCAGTCCCATCAGATTTCTTTGATGTCAGACCTGCTTTCTGCTTCCTTATTTAACCGGGACGACCCTGTAAAACGTTCGCTTTTTCTAGCCCATCACAGCAATATTTTTTTTGTTTAAAGTGTATACCACCAGGTAAATTGAAGAGTTCTAGAACAAGTAAAAATACCCGAACAAAATTCCTTAGATCAACATAATTGATTTACATTTTTGTTTAAAAATGGTGGAGGCGCCAGGATAATATTTAATCGTTCTAGTTAAGTTTCAATATTACACTTTAACCTGATTGAATTTATTCTCCATTAGGTCACTTTCAGCCACGAAAACTTTTTTAATAATTAACTAGCTCTCACATTGTGTTTGCCCAGAGCAAACAATGCTACAATTTCCATACTTGATTACAATACACTTCTAGCACATATAGGTTCGGTCTGTATATTTAGTCCCAAAGCACATATTAAGTTACCAAAATAATGGGAAACTGCTTCGAAAAACTAAATATTTCATCCACACCACCCTGCAAATGTAGCAGTCTCGAACCACACACACCAGACACATCCACCTTTCATTAACTCGTAAAGTCGTCAACACGACCCCAACGCCCGCATTCCAACCCGCCGCCCAAGCCAAACACGTAACGCTTGTCTCACGTCTCGTAGGTGTACAGCTCTAAGTACCTCCCAGCGGGTAACAG